GATCGAAACATACGTCTGCCGCAAAACAGGTGATGTGGTCGTCAATAAAGGGTCTTAGCGTGGCGACCGAAATTCCTTGAGGTAGCACTTGTTTTATGAAACTGAAATTGACAACAGGTAAATATGTTCAGTTAGAGGCCATGGTTATGACGGAGTGTGGGACAGTAATGTCACGTGCAAGGAGAACATCAGGAATCGGCGTCACGATATAACCATCGTTGAGCACGGAAGAAGGTATTGCCAATTCAACAAATGTGAGAGCTTTAGGTGGTATCCAGAAGAAGTCAGTAGTGCACAGGCTGTTTGGGAGTTCAGAGTGAGAATACGGGAGAAGAGGAAGTTCTAGGCAGAGAGTACCGGCGGCACAATCGATCAGAGCAGAATGCGTCGATAAGAAGTCCATGCCGAAGATTAGGTCGTGAGGGCAATTTTCAAATACCATTAATAAAACGGAGACATGGCGGCCGGCAATACTAACACGAGCGGTACACATTCCAGTGATGGCCACAGTTCCACCATCAGCGACACGGAGGGCTTTAGTCGCTGCAGACGTGAGGACTTTTTTGAGTAGGTGACACAGATGAGCACTCATTATGGACACTTGAGCTCCGGTATCAACTAACGCTTTCAAAGAAATACTGTCCACATACACCTCAATCAAGTTCGTATGAGTGTGGAGCATCAAGGGAGGATTTGGATCAGTCGCAATTGATGCAGCACACCTCCCAGAGCTGCATAATCTAGTATTCTGTCCGAGAGGTGTGGTTGGGATGATGAGGAACGGCAGCGTTGAGGTGACGGCGAACGAGCGGTGGAGCGGCTGTTAGGGACATCGGAAGAAGGGCACACACGACTGGGCGAATACCGACGGGAGTCCTTGTATGAGCGAGAAGAGAAAAATGGGCTCCAGTTTGAGGGCGTCCAAGTGCTGCGAGAGTAGCAGGAGATATGCCCCACTCTATGGCAGGGGAAGCAGATCGGTTTGTCGTCTGCAGTTCTCTATTCCGTCAAATTGCGGTGATTGCGGAAAAAAATGAGTTATGGCATGATGCATTTATTGTCATTGTTCTGGAGGCTGGTCAGGAGACAGAGAAGGCCACAGGAAAAGCGAGCTTTGCAATTTCCTGCTTCACGACGGCTTGAATAATGGAGACCGCCAAAAGCGTTTGTGTGGCGCCATGGTTGAGTGGAAGTGGAGGAAATGGTGCCGGACTTGGCGCCTCAAGCTCCCGTCAAACTATACGTTGCTGTACACACCACACCACCCATGCTGTCCTGCATGAATGGTGTGGCACTGAGATTGGTGCAGATTGATGTAACAGCCGTGTTTGGTAGCCGCGTGGTTTGCAGTGGTTGCAGTACATGCACAAAATACACGCACAAAAAATATTATCTACTGAAATGACAGTAGATGTCAGGAAAGCAAAGAGAGCCAAAAAAGGAGGAAATTACTGTACTTGAGAGCATGAACAAGGTATTCAGTACCCACAATATAATATAGACAAGTATGAAAATTGAACTGCATTATTTATGCCCTGGTACAGAAGGTTTTTTACAAAATTGCAGATATAGTAAAGCCAAATGCACTGCAAGCAATGAAACCTCCACAAATATTTAACTACACCTTATCTTCCTTAGTCAACCTTTCCCAGTGTGTGTGTCCACATTTCCATATTTCATAGGCATTGGCAAAAAAGAGACAATATATAGTGAGTTGGCACCATTTTTGCTAAATGGTTATTCTACATTTTTTGCTGCAGTTATTCTGTGTTCTCTGTATGTGCAGGTATTTCTCAGTGCTAAATAGTTGGTGCATGAACCCTTTAAGATGTGGGTCTTGAAAAGTGTGTTTTTATTAATTGGGTGAACCAAATTAGAGTCAATAGAATCATCAAGTTTTTTTCTGAAAATTCCAAGCCTCTGAGTAGATTTTTAATAGTTGCATTAGAACAAAAAATTATACCATTTGAACAACGTTTCCAAGCATAATTCTTTTGGAAATTTTTGGCAACTTCTCTTTCTCAAGCACAAAAACTATGTATGCACAAAAATTGCCAGAAATCTGGTCTAGCCAAATGATGCCTTTTATTTTGTTATATTGTCATTTACCTAATTATAATTATTGATAATCATAAAGTGTAAGAAGAAACAAATTTCATTTATATTTGCATCCACTTATTTTGTAAAGATCGATGTAAAAAATCAAACTGGCATGATCCGCTAAACGAGCTCTCTGGCAGTCTTGCCACATATATTGCTTTTCTGTTTGACAAAGAAAAGTTGCTAAAAAACCCCATAAGAAACATGCTCCTAGAAATTGCACATTTTTTATTCAAATGCAGATAATAAAAATCTACTTGAAGATCTGAAAACTGCAGGAAAAAATGAATAAGTGTACTAAATTTTGTTCAGTTAATCTAACTAATCAAAAAAATTTTTTGAGACCCATATCTCCTCTTAAAAGGCCTGTAAACAAGCTCCGACGTTTTTTTTACATTCCCCAAACAAGCTTGTCAATTTTTAGAGTAGACCACTGCGACCAATATTCCAGTGCTAGACCAAATATTCCAGTGCTATGCAGTGCGCAGACCCTCCATTTCAAAAAAACGATTCCCGCACTTCTTTACTTCACCCGACCAATCCCCCTCATACGCAAGCTTGCCCATGGGCAACTTGACGTACCACTGAGCTTGCCGGTCGGTCCTTTGCCATACGAAACGGCACCTTGGCCCTGCGGTGATGCATTAGTGACTGCGGGGTCCACATTTTCATTTTCCTGTGCTGCCCTTTGCCACTTTGTAGAGCCCGAGACTGCCGGGAGAAGCGGCTATGCCAAAGAAAGGGTGCTCCTCTCATAGCACCTCCTCCCTGCGCCACTATAACACTCGCTCATGTAGGGTAAGCCCTGCTAATGCATTGGCTGCGTGCCGATGGGCTACACTTTCTCCCTCTCTCTCTTTGGAGAAGAAGGGTGGCGATGCCATACAAAAATTTAAAACCAGCTGAAACAATTCAATTGATAATTTTCAATTTGAATTTTATTTGAATTGAAAATTTCTAACCCCTGTATTTTTTTCTCTGTAGTTAACCCCTGTTACTTTCATATTATAGTGCGTATTCGTAAAATTCTTGCAGCGGCATGTTCCCATAATAAAATAGCAAATATTTCTCTTCATTACAATTTTTGGGCCTCGTGTGATTGTTTACTGGCCTGTTGGGAGTTTTCGTCTTTTCATGAACAGTGGAGGTTGTCTGTCCCGGAATGTCTTTGCTGTATGAACAAGGTTTCGATCCTTTATTTGAAATTTCATTTTGAGCCTTCATTCAAAGGCTGCCATCTCCTCGGACTTTCAAGAGGCATTTGAAATTTGATTGTTCTACCTTCTTGCAGGACGAACAGAACTGTTTTCTAGCTTCAACTCGTAATGCAGTCTGCAGCAATGCCCTTTCGTGGTTTCACTTTTGCCGCATGACTGCAACAACGGTGCATGAAACATGATTTTTATCTTTATCGGCACTACCTTGCCGGGGCAGCGCAAGTGTATTTTCATCTTTAGTGGCGATGCTCTTAGCTTGTTCATCACTGACGCAAGTGAGGTATTCTTGCTATCTTTGTTTATAGAGCTTCCTTCTAGTTCTTCAGAGGCATGGCAAAGCAGCGATATGGTCGAATGCTATGCCTCTTGACACTGACAGCGATGCCTTTTTTAGCTATGATTTTGATTTTGTTCACTTTTATGCGTGCAGACTGCAATAACTGCAATAACACACCGTGTGTAAGGCTGTGTTTCAAGGAATACCACCCTCTGAAGAACTATTAAACATTATGCAGTTCCGAGTGATGCTGACACAAAATACTATTCTCAATTCTTTTTTTACAATTTCTCCCCAACTTTACAAATCTGTATACCCAAAATCCACAATCAAGCAATTCGACATCTGGGCGAATTTTTTCAAAGAAAAAAAATTTAATCCTCAAAAGATTAATAAGAAAAGAGGAGACACAAAAAACTAGTTTACATATCTTTTGTTTTTAATTGCTTTCACGAGTCTAGGTTTTCTACTTTATTGACAAAAAAAAATCAAGGTTGTAGTTAAACTCGAAGTAGGACAAAGTCACCTTTAAAGAGCACTAGAAGGCTATAAATAATTAAAAGAGCTCATAGTCTAGAGTGCCCTGGAAATTGTTTTCTGGCTGCTTGATATTTTATTTCACATGAAGAGTTCACCAAAGCCACATGCTCAAGATAACTGACTCTAAGACTCTCATAAAAAATAAATTGTTTTAATAAGCACATCACTACTACACAGTTCAGCTTTTATTCCTATGTTTAAAATATATTTTTCTCGAGATGCAACTTAAACTTTTTGACTATGGACATCATGCTTTTGGTACTTCTGATAGCCGGATCAAGATAAAAACTTTTCCACATATTTCTTAATACGACAAGAGTGCAATTATCTCCTATAAGGCATGACATTAATCATAACATTATTACAAACTTAATGTAACCAATTACTATGAGCTTAGCATTTCATAATTACTTATGCTAACAACAAAAAGTTTCATTGCCTCAGACTTCAAATTGAACTTTTTTTTCCAATTGTAATCTCCCCTTAACGGTCATACAACGGCATGTCATGAAATAGCACCAATGCTACCGACAGTGAGGGTGATTGACTATTAATGCTGCTACATGGCTATGAGTAAGCACAGGGTTTAGCTCCTAATTTTAGAATTCCCAACAACTCATCATTTGGTGACATTTCGAGGTGTCTTAATCACGTTTAAGGTGCTGTGCTGGCTCGTTCAAAATTTTCAAATCTGCAAAGGTATAAACCATGCTATGGTGCCCAGAATGCGGTGCAAAACGTGAAAGGAAAAATACAATCGCAATACAGACTGCCGGGGAGAAAATAACTATTGCCTTGAATAGTTTTGCAACGAAAATGTGTGATCACTCCACTAATGCAGTGTGGTGATTTCATATCCTATCTACCTTTGAGGCTTTTGACAGAAGCCCCATCCAGTCAGGACATACCCCCATGAGTGTGGAAGTGTCCAAGTTGAGTCCTCCGCTCAGCAGCTGATCTTGCAACCAATCCAGGTCGGAATCAATTGATTCTATATGCTCCGAGAAAACCCTGCATTCACAACACAAAAATGTATTAATTTAGTTATTATTTATTTATAATAAGGACAGCAGTTACAATAATTTAAATATACAAAACAAAAGAGTATAGTGAGTCTAGGCAACACAATGTTCCTCCAAATTATAAATACAAGAGTTACAAAACAAAAGGAAAACAAGAAAATAAGTACAGTTAGTTCAGGTAACAGGTGGTTCTCCTGGTAATAAAATGTTAGCTATTGGCTGCGAGATCAAGCAGAGTGGCTGCCTGGCGACAACTGGCTGAAGCGTGCCCAGTTTAGATTGTTCCCTGCGTTGTCTGCTAGCCACATTGTGTTTGCATGTGTGCATTCGTCATGCACATTCTCAAAGGGTGGTTTGTTCAGTTATGTTAGCGCAAGTTTAACTGCTTGTACATATGCCTTAAACGACATACGAAATCATTTGGTTTTGCTCAGTTGTTAATGCACTGCAATAAAATCAATGATTGTAACTTTCCAGAGTGCTGTGTATTGTCGCCATACCCTCCATTCACTAGATTCATTTTAGTGTGGGTGCCGCTTTCTGCTTCAAGCACATCGTAAAATGCACTTGGCATCGTCCCAAATGTGACTGCTGACTACTAAATGATGTCTGAATGCAGCATTTTAGTGACTCGGTTGTAAACGAAAACGAGGCTATATTCCACACACTTTCACGTTGTTAGGTGTATAACTATGGCCCTGTAGTGTATCGATTATGTAATAAGGATTACTTGTTTTTATCTGGCTGTGGTACCATTACAGAGAAATATTACTATTAAGTAAAGTGTGACACTTCGGTACTTAAACTGTACTTAAAACAGAGTTGTGCGCAATTTTATCTTGGTGCGAAATTTGCACAGAAACATCCGTGTGCTTAGATTTAAGAAGGTTTCAAATAACCCAGACGTTCAAAAATTAATTTGTACAGGTGTACAACTTTACGAAAAATCTCATCTTTTTTTTTACATTGTCTTGAGCATTTTGTTTGAAGTTGTTATTGACTGATGGAAAGTGCCAGCCATTTTTTGTTTGTAAAAAAACAACAAGCTTGTCCAATAAAATAACCAGACCTTTGTTGTATCACTATCATGCACGTAGCCCATCAATGAAAGGTTTCTGCTGAGCTCTTACAAGCTTTTTATACTTTCACTGGTGCAACAACATGAGCGTGCCTGGTAAATGTCAATGGCACGAAGGGCTGTCAGTCACTAAGCTCTTCTGACTAGACTGACTGACTGTCCCACATTTCGTGGTACACAGAACGAAAAAAAAAAAGCCCATGCATATTCATGCGAACAGTGGTACTGAACTCATCACAGCAATATGCAGTTTTTTACAATCTTTCTTTTTTTCTTTCTTTTTGTATCCAGATGAGCAAGAAGTAAATAAGTGGTTCAGCCTAACTACAGCAGTAGGTAGTAGACAGAACACAAGTTAAACATGTACAAACAACACAGCAAAGGCATTATTTAGTGAGAAAGCATACAGACTGTCATCCACAGCGAGCATCTCTTTGATAGGCAGAATGCGCTTCCCTCGCTAGTAATAGTAACGTCGCATGGGCAGAAAGGCGTGTAGATATTAGCAGTAAATGACAGTCAACGCATTTTATTCACTGACAATCGGTTCTTACCACACACAACGAAGCGCCACAGCGTGTATTTGTATACGAGCCGCCAACCGCCTATCCACACTACCGCGGGAACGTTGCTGCCACCTATAGCCCCATCTCACCGAGAATTGTTTTGTGAAAAAGCTTGCTGTCAGTGTTGGCTGTGATACTTGAAAAAAGGTGGTTCCAGTCTCCTAACATTGGAGAATAATAAATGACTGAAAGGTGGCGTAACATGATGCAATGCAATTCCTAGCTTATTATATAATGATCAACATGATTTGAAATGTACTGAGGTTGGAGTATAAAGTGATCATGAAGTCATCAATGGAGGAAAATTTTATGAAACAGCGAAAGATGGGTGACTTTGCATTAGTTGACCAATGAAATAAGTGTTGCATTATTTTTAGTCAAAGTCATACTTGCAGTACGGTTATGGTTAGAAAGAATGAACTAAGCAGAGTTACTAAAATTAAGTCTTACAGCTCAAACGTGCTCAAAGATGTGTGTTTATTTTACTGCCATGACTGCCACAGTGAGACAACAGCAGTTACCAGACACTTATCAAACCGATAAAGTGCCACAAAAAATTCTCAATACTAATTTTACCCAGTGTGCAAAAAAGCTGGAAGAATAAGAAGAGGGGCCCTTCTAAACTTGTAGGACCCAGTAGTTTTAAAAATAAAGGACAAATCAAATCTTGCTGAACCATACTTGTGATGATGGCTTTAAAGGCAGCCTTCCAGCGATTTATTTTTTTGGTTGTTGAATGACCAATTAGTGTCTCCCACCTCACTAACAGAGCATAAGATAGTTAAAAAGAGGCTTTAATTCCACTCAACCCTCACAATGCAGTGTGTGAAAACATGGTAGTTACCATCCACGTATGGTAATTACTAGAGGTCGGATTTATGGGCACTAAAAAAATCGAGTTCTGGCATCAAAAATAGGAAGGCAAAACACAGTTTTAGGCCCCCAAAATTGGAACTATAGGCACTATAAATTAAAAAAAATCAAATTTTAGAACAAATACGCTCTACTTGTCTCTACGACAGGAAAGCAAAAAGAAATATTTTTGTTTATAATGGTACAAAGGCGCCAATGAATAGCCTAGACATGCAATTTATTCCCGCAGGGTTTGAAGAATCGTGTCTTTTATTGTCCAGCATGATGACTTAATTGACCACCATCAAATAAACATGCTCCTAGGTTCCTTTTCTTGTTTTTTTTTTTTTTCCGGCATGGCTGAGAAGGGCACCACAGGTGGAACAAATGCCCGGACCACTATAAGGCTAGACGGGTCTTTTAGCCTCGTGTTAACCAGGTCTAATTGCACACGGTTGATTTCTGCTATGTGTGTGAACACCTTAAAGAACCTCTCACCTGGTTTGAGCATTTCGAGCTAGCAAGAAAAATGCATGCACTGGGCGCTCATGATCCCGTTTGCAAAGATTTGCAATGGTATGCGCCCTGAAAGAGGCGAGGTGTCACACGGAACACCACTTGCCCTTCATCTCATGGGCATGCAGCCCAACATGATGGAGATGCACATGGTGGAACTCCGGGCCCGTGCCAAGCACCCTCCGAAAAATAATTTTTGCTATGCATACAAAGCGCAAAATGACCGTTTCGCCTGTCCTGCCCCTACTTTTGATCAAGGAGTTGCCTCCCCTCCCTCCCCGAAAAAATTTCTGCATACAACCGTGGTCCTGCATACATGAAAGTAGTTTATGTGGCATTGCGACAATTATTCGAGATGCCATGTGTAATTTGTGCAATCTGTTGCATGATATAAGCTCAGTAGTGTTGAAAGTTGGGTTAGTTGGTGATAGTTCATGTTTGCTTGTGAAGTAACGCACGGAGACAAGGCACAAAAGAAACGAAAATGACACCGTTGCACTCGCAGCTAGTTAATTTTGCAGAAAAACATGGTTAATATACCATATGATAGCATACCACGTGTAACAATGATGTTCAAGCTACAATACATACCGGAAATTTTCCAAAAAGGGCAATTCACAATCGCTTAAAAGAATAGGTGCTTGACTAATGCGTTCTATACCAGTAAAACAAAAAAGGATTGAATCAGCCAAGCATGACGTATTAATGTGTCTGTGTCATGTGATCTTGCGGCTCTGTGTTACTCTAATACCAAAGAGGGCAGGAAAGGAATTGGGCTTGCGAAGCGGCAAAGGTTTCAGGATAACTTCCTCACATCATGCTTTTGCGGCTTGTAATGAACCGATTGCAGTGAGCGAAACAACAAAATTCTTGTGGTACAAAGCTATTCATTAGGAATGCAACAACTTAAAGTCTCTAACTAAAATTTGTCATGCATCTTCCAGAGCACCCTTTAAAAAGTAAATGACAAACAAAACTAAAACCACTCGAACATCTAGGTTTTGTCTTCCTACACTGTTTTCCTACATTTTTTTCTCTGATGACACTCCACTTTCGCATTGGTTCTCTATCGTCCTCCAGCTGCACAGAAGCACCTACTGTTACCTATGCGTGCGAGCAGACGCTGAGATGCCGAGCAGACGATGCGACAGAGATGAATACATGTGCAGAGCCTAATCGGTCTTCCTATTGGCTAAAGAGGGCCTTGTAGCCTTGACAATGCTGAAAGAAACTTCCGAGATGGAATATAGGTTGCCGCTCATAGAGCTCTGAAAGCCCAATTTTGGCCGGTAGCATGAATACCACTCTCCAACTTTGCTCAAAAGTAAAATTTGAGGTTAAATAAAGTTAATAAAAGCACCGATTTCGAAAATAGGTATTTAGAGGCACTTACAAAAATTTAGGCACAAAGATAAAAAATAGGCATTTATAAGCACTATAAAAGCTCTATAGAAGCCCTTCTGAACCTCTAATTTGTGCTCATTCATAAAAAAGTGCAATAAGAACGCACAGAAAAGAATAGACATTTGCCTAAAATCCGGTCTCTAGTAACTGAATTACAAGAGGAAACAATTACCCAATTCAATGAATAGAGTACGTGAGATATCAGTTTTAAATGTATGATGTCACTTAAAAGAGCCCCTGCCGAACACTTTGAATATGCTAAATAAACCTGTTTATTTTCTAGGCTAGTTCATCATTTCACATGAAAGTCAAATTTTCCTAACAATACTTCAAGAAGCAAGCCTACCACTTTACCCAAAGGACTGCGAGTTCCTTTAGGTGGGTAGACTCACCTTGAACCTTTTTTTTTTGTTATTTATTCACCGATTTAAAGAACCTTAACTGGTTTACATGGCTTTTTTTACTGATTTCAAATATGTAATTACTTTTCCCATAACTTATTTAATTTTAATGATGACTAAGGCTCATTCCCTATCGTCTAAGGCAATGATATAATAAAAAGTGCTTAATTAAAAAAGACATTACAGAAATGGCAACATAGATTAGTCACTGAAAATTGAAATATAGCAAGCAGTCTTTTGGGGGGGGGGGGGGCAACACTTAATAATTTTACAACAGAATGAACTTTACACAAAGACAAGCCCTTGCATTTCAGTTACAATTATTATGATTATAGCAGACTCTCATTAAACGAAACCTGAAGAGACCATAAAACTATGTTCTATTCAACAGTAGTTCCGCTTACTGAGAAATTAATAAGGCTGCAAAATACCAGTAGAAAACCATTCGTGTTAGAAGCAGTTCCATTTAAGCAGCAGTTCTGTTTTAACAGATTTTCGGTTACCGAGTTTACTGTAATAAATTACAAGACTTGTGCTCCAAATTATTCATCCATACTTAGATTCTCTACATACTCACATTTACATTGCAAAAAAAAATTTCTTGTACCTGCTCTAGACGCCAATATATAGAGGCCTCAGAATTTACCTATCATAAATTTACATTTTGAAAAAAGAGCAAAAGGTAAATAAAGAACTCTTTTCTTTTTATAATACGAATCAAATGTGTCTATTTTGAAATGCAGATGCCAATGGACAGCAAGAATATAACATGACTGCTGCTTAACATTGTAGTAGCCCTTATTTAGTGCCTGCTGCACACTCTTGGCTGTGGCATGCTCGAAATTAGACTTGGCCACATGGTGTCTGTCCTTCTTCCTCATCTAAAACTTAACAGGCATGGTTTTAGATTTTCTACCAAGACATCTAATGAAGCTTTCAAACTGCCCCGGTTGAAATTTATTACTTCCTCGGTATGAGCACTTCTGACTAAATAAAGCAGCATGCCATTCCTTTGATGCCAAAGCCCAAGTAAGTGAATTTTCATTTACGCCATAGGCACATTTCTAGAAGCCCTCTTTTTGACAAGTTATATATTCATCTTTGATGTTGCTCATATGCTGTTTTGTTGGTGCTTATTACAAAGTGACATGCCATAAGCATGATGAGAAAGTGGCACAACGCGCACACATGCTCCTCTATGCTTATATTTATTCCTTTTTCCACTGATGGTACTTCTGCTGCTTTTCAGCATTTCTGCACCACAGCAGGGTTTCTAAACTTCCATTGTAAATGCCAATACTTCAGATATATTAACCTTCTACGAACATGTTTAGCCTATTGAGTAAGAGACTATGCTTCTGAGCACATGATTTCATGTTTGAATCTCATTGTCGACAACATTTTTTCCCTTTTATTTATTTATTTGGACATATCTCGAAGGTTGAGGGTTTGAGCCCCGACTTGCTTAAGTTATGAGTTCAAGTCATTACTTGCTATACACCACTGCAGGTTTCCTATGCATTCTCTGTGAAGCTCTACAAACCTATAAAAAACACGTTACATCATGTTGCAGATATGATTTACCCAAACTATCCGCCACAGAATCCTTATGCATTTAAAATGCTCGTATCACGTCTGCATAGTTACCACAGGTCATCATAGTGATGCAGACTACTTCACTTCAATTGAGTACTCATGCTGATTTTGCTCTTTTGCATCACACAATTCTCGTACTCCACACTCAAGGCACTTCACATTTTTTCGAATTATTGGGTTGTAAAGAAATGTTTCAAAGTCAATTAAATTCCGTTAAATATGAATGCACCTAGAAACACTAAAAGATGTATTCAAATTATTGAATACTTTTGCTTGCAGAAACTAAGGCTTTCCTGATTTTACAATAACCTGCCAAAAAAAAAACACAGTGGCTTTCAGGACATGCTTCAGATTGACGGTTGGTCAGCAAGAAACATGTAGAAACATGCAGGCATAAGCTATACAATATGCATTTTTAGCAAACCACACAAGAAAGAGAGTAAAGACAAAAGAAGGTTGTCTGCTCAACCTTTTGATCATCCTTTAGTGTACTGCTTGGTAGTAGGCTACTACAGTATGCACTGAAAGTTTTGCTCACTTCGTGGCACCAGCAGCTTTGTCATGCAATGCCACCTGCATTTCTGGACTGCGAGCTGCAACTGCTTTCTCCTTTTCATGCTTGGAGCTCTCCTCCTTTGCAAGGTCAGCCAGGTCCAATGGCGAGGCTGTTGCAGGAGGCTCTACATCACCCTCTAACATGGAAATGTCCTCCAGCATGGTGCCATTGCTCAGCAGATCTGATGCACCACTGGATGCCTGCTTATGACCCAGCATCGTTGAATTTTCCTCATTGATCTAATTAGATGAAGAAAAAGCCTATTGAAGGAACAAAAATAAAACTGTGCAAATAAATGAACAATTGCCCTTTCAAGCCTAAACACAAGACTTTTACCTTCCAGGAATGTTGTCCCATGTGATCAATGCGTGATATGTTGTAATTCCCATTACTACAGCAAAGTCACAGTATGTATACTTTACGTGATAATGACATAGTATACCCTTTCTTCTCATCCATCTAATAAGAATGCAATCTTTGCTAGTGCAGTTGAATACCAAGTTTGCACAGCAACCATGTATCAAGTGTGGCACAGTTTTTCTTGCAATTTTCACAATGAAATTCCATACTTAATTTTACTGTAAATATACATCTATCTTTCAACAAAATATTTCCCCTGTATAACACTCTAAGTTCCATTCATTGCCACAAGACCACAAAGCTCACTTAATTTGCCATGTCAGGATGCCAGATGATCCAGAAAAACATGTTTAATCCACTTTGGATTAAGCGCAATTCCTGTAAAACAATAAAATTGTACCTCATAAAATATAACACATTTATATGATTATATAAGGCAATCGAACTATGATGTTAGGGTGGATCTAAACATCGCAAGAAAACAAGTTGCAATATCATACTGTAAAATACAATAGACCGGTGAATTACACAGACTAGGTGAAGATTATCTGAAAGACCAATCCATTGGAAGTCCTGCGGGAATAGATAAGACACTTCTTCATCACCTGTACATAGCCATCATCACATGGTTTTTGGGGACACCTCTCAAGTTTGTTTTGTGCCTCAGATGTGACTGATTTTGCCACGTCTTTCAGGCTTAATAAAGGCGTGTAAAGCACTATGTCACAAGTGATGGAGGTGCTGTGTGTCAATACGAGTACCAAAGTCACCAGCAGTCATGTCGTCATGATAGGCCTTAAGAATATCAGATCAAAGAGAGTAAGACCATTTGTGTCATAGATGTGAAGGTAAAGAATCTGATTATTGGGCTTGAACTGCCTCAGCTGTCGGCGAAGGCGGGCATTAGGTGGTGGCAAATGTCTATGAAGGTGTTCTAATATGGTCTACAGTAAAAGTCAGTGAGTTGGTGGGTAATGATGAAGCCATGGTTGTCAGGAGGAATCTGGTAAATGGAGGCTAAGGGCAAAACAGATGTGAAAGTATCATCCGAGCATTCATCGCTGAAGTAAATAGCGGGACCGGTGCATGGCACCGTAGGAAGTCGGCAGCGAGAAAGCGCATCTGCGTTCTGGTGCTTCTTGCCGCACTTGTAGATAATAGTGAAGTTGTATTTTTGAAAACGTATAATTCATCGGCCAAAACGTCCTGATAAGTTTTTGAATCTAGAAGGCCAACATAAGGCATAGTAGTCTGTAAAGATTATAAAATGACGGCCGTGTAGATAAGGTTGAAGGCAGTGACTTTGGTGACAGAGCCCGTCAACGCAGTACTATCATTAGAGTGAGGGGGCCCATCAGAGTAGTGTAATCGTGATTACAGTGATGGAACCCGTCACCGTAGTGAAATCGTAACAATGACAGGGTCCGTTGCCATAAATTTGTAGTTCTTTTAGACACCAATGCTTAGCTGTTTTGGTAGCTCAGTGGGTTGACGTGCAGTTGAAGATGCAGTCGTGCCGCAGGTCGACTACCGCATAGAGGCAAATAATACAGCGCCGTAATGGTGTAATTATGAGGTGGCTCGTTTTAACAACATAGTGCTGATGTTTGTGCTCTTACTGAAGTTATAAAAAGTTTTTATTTGTTTCTTTTTTTCTTTATTGCTGCCTGGGTGAGGTGACTGCTACCTTCCCTCATCGTAGGATACATCGACGCTGCTAGATGCACGTTCATTCTTGCGTATTCGTTTCACCGACTCGGTCACACCTCGTGGTTTACGCAAGCCCGCAGCCACACCAGTCAGCACTTGCAAATTAAAGCATCCAGACAGACGCCCAGGCCTTTGGTGTGCTTGAATTTTAACGACCGAGAACGATATTGTCGCGACGTGAAAATAACAGGATACAGAACTCGGGTGCGACCAGGAAAAACAAGGTTTGTATTAACAGAACAAAGGAGCAGTTGCTTCGACGTCGTATTTCTCGGAGCAACCGTGGGTGCTGTCCACGCTCATCACTTCGTCGTCCTCTTGCCCGGCCTTTAGCCATGACATAAGCCTCCCATTCAAGAAAGCATTGTCCCGATGCTTTATAGTCAAAGTGGTTCGTACTCGCTGGAAATGCATGAGTTCATTCGGAGAAATAAGGTTTCATTCGAACAACGTGCACAACTTCTGAAGCACACCTTTGACGTCTTAATGAGTGTGCAGTATCAGGAACAACCTCATAACTAATGTCACTGAGATGTCGTAGAACTTTATAGGAGAAGTACCGTTTTAGGAGTTTTTCTGAGAGGCCACGGCGCCGAACAGGAGTTCATATCCAAAATTTCTCTCCTGGCTCGTATGAGACTTGTCTGTGACGAAGGTTGTATCATATTGAATCGTAGTGGGGAAGTGGTTATGTTGTAAGAAGGAAAAGAAAAGAAAAGTGAGCCCCGTAACTGTCTGCTTCAGGGAGCGACACCTCAACAGTAGCTCACAAGAGATGGGGGTAAGGAGGGATTGAAAGGATAGGAATAAAGGTGTAGAGAGAGAAGAGAGATGAGGTAAGCGTGAAAGCGTGAGAGCGATGAAATATCAAGGGGATAGGAGAGATAGAAAAGATGGAAACACGGTCACAGGAGTCCGAGGACGGGGCACCACTTGCGAGAGCACTTGTCGGCGTCAGGAGATGGCGCAGAGCAAGTCCAGTCAGTCAGAGCTACACTGTCGTCGGAGGTCGGCGTCAGGAGATAACGTAGGCGAGCCCAGTCGGCCAGAGCTAAGCCGACGTCGGAGAAGATCGCGAGGGCACAACCGGTCGGCATGAAATCCAGCGAGCGAGTCCCCTTGTATCGTAGTCCTGCTTGTGACTAATACATCGGCGAGCAAGTTGTCGGGCTTCTTCGGCAAGCTGGGTGATATAATCAGCATCTGTCTCCACGTTTTCGCACTCGTGTGGCAGCATAGCATCCAGCATAGTGGTGACTTCACGACCACGAAGAAGGCGGAACGGCGTTGTTCTTGTTGTTTCTTGATGAGCCGTGTTATAGGCGAACGTGACATACGGCAAGATCTCGTCCCAGTTTTTTTGCTCCACATTGACGTACATGCAGAGCATATCCGCAAGTGTCTTGTTGAGACGCTCCGTAAGACTATTCGCTTGAGGATGATACGCCATTGTTCGCCGGTGGGATGTGCCACTAAGTCTTAAAACCGCCTGTAATAGTTTGGCTGCGAATGCAGTTTCCCTGTCAGTTATTACCACTGATGGAGCGCCATGCCTTAGCACCACATTCTCCACGAAAAATCGGGCTGCTTCACTTGCCGCGGCCTTCTCCAGAGCCTTGGTTTCGGCGTAACGAGTGAGGTAGTCGGTGGCTACTATAATCCATCTGCGACCTGCCGATGAGGTGGGAAATGGGCCCAAAAGATCCATTCTGACTTGCGCGAATGGAGTAACAGACACGTCAATAGGGTGGAGGAGGCCTGCTGGTTTGACGGGTGGGACTTTTCTGCGCTGGCAATCAAGGCACATCCGAACATAGTGTTGAACGGTCGCCGCCAGCCTTGGCCAGTAGTATTTCTGCCTCACTCTGCACAGCGTGCGCGTGTAACCCAGGTGGCCGGATGATGGTTCATCGTGGCATGCCTGTAGTACTTCACTCCTTAGAGATGTTGGCACGACAAGTAAGTAGTCGTTTCCGTGTGACGTGAAGTTCATCTTATACAGGACGTCATTGCGCAAGAAAAATAACGAAAGCTCTCTCGCAAACAGTCTAGGTACAGCTGAAGTGTGACCCTCCAAAAAATTAAATATGGGTTCTAGTTCCGAGATCGTGTCGTTGCAGCTGTGCGACAGTAGCCATGTTTACAACTTCGACAAAGGCTGCATCGTCATCTTCTGCTATTGCAGGTTCGTATGGCGCACGAGAAAGGCAATCGGCATCTGAATGTCGCTTCCCCGATCTGTAGACCACCATCATGTCAAATTCTTGAAGCTTCAGGCTCCAGCGCGCCAACCATCCTAAAGGGTCTTTTAAATTTTTCAGCCAGCAGAGGGAGTGATGGTCGCTGACAACATTAAAAGGACGACCATACAGATATGGGCGGAATTTGATAACAGCCCACACTACGGCAAGGCACTCTTTTTTCGTGGTGTAATAATTTTCTTCCGCACGTGAAAGAGTTCTGCTCACGTAAGCAATTACTTGTTCAGCGCCATCCTGCCACTGCACGAGTACAGCTCCTAAGCTGACATTGCTAGCGTCGATGTGCACTGTTGTCGGGGCGTCATCATCAAAGTGTGCGAGGACAGGTGGCTCCTGAAGGTGTTGCCGCAGCTTGTCGAATGATTTTTGCCGTTTTTCATTCCATACGAATGCGATGTCTTCTCTGGTAAGGCGAATCAACAGCGAGGCAATGCGTGAGAATTTCTCAATGAAGCGTCGGTAGTACGCACACAGTCCTAAAAACCGTCTGACCACCTTTTGTCAATTGGCGCTGGAAAATTCGTAATGGCAGCTGTTTTTTCAGGGTCAGGCCGCACACCTTCCCTGCTGACAAGATGCCCCAGGAACAGAAGCTCTTCGAAGCCGAAGTGGCATTTTTCCGGCTTAAGTGTTAGTCCAGCAGAACGGATAGCTTGAAATATTGAGTGCAGTCTCCTGAAGTGTTCGTCGAATGTGGCAGAAAATACGATGACGTCATCTAAGCATGTCTGCCACTTGAGGCCTGATAGTACGGTATCCATTAGCCGCTGAAATGTTGCTGGTGCTGAGCACAAGCCAAATGAAAGTACCTTAAATTCAAAAAGGCCATGAGGTGTCCCGAAAGCTGTTTTCTCCTGGTCTCTTTCATCGGCTTCTATTTGCCAATACCCACTCTTTAAATCGATCAA